TCCTGCCCTCTGAAGATGCCGGTCACAGATGCTGGCAAAACGTTAGGAACCAAAACTTCCACAACACGGCCACACAGCCCGGAAGACCCACACCAGCCAGCGTCATGCTGTCCTGACGCAAGCCTTCTGTGCATGCCTTGTGATGTCGCATGCCTGCCCAAAAGGTGCAGCTTGTGTTGCAACAATGCGACGCTGCTCTGATCATTTTGATGTAAACGTCCAATCTTGTAGAAAGGTCTCTTTGGTAGTAGCCATTAGCATGTTTGGCTAACCCAAGCAGGCTTTTTTGGTGATTGACCAGCAATAGCAAAAAGAAGAGTGAGATTTGACAGGATGTGTTGAAGCACAAAAATCCTGTCCAGGATTGTCCCAGGTATGATGGAGTCAGGTGGGTCATTTTAATGTTTTGCCCATTCCAAATAGCTCTTCCCCAGCCCTTAAATGCGTCTGTGATTCCCATCAATAGCCTTGGCCATGATGGGAATTCAGGGTGCTGCAGTTCCGATGATCTGGAGACAGGCTGGCAGAACATACTGAAGACCCTCCTAGTTTATTGCTATCACCGCAAGACTAAAAATCTCGGTGAAAACTAAAAGGTATCTCTACGATACAGAAAAATCTAACGTTCTACCTCCATCTTATTTTTTCCTATTCTTTTACGTTTTATTTTAACGGGCATTTGAAAGTGTAACCTCTCCCCCCCCCCAAATAGCAAGAGAGAAACAGAAAAAGAGATTTACAAGCTGTATAAAATCAAATAAGAATGTTTGAAGTAACCCTACATTATTATAATGGGACTTTAAAACCATGATTAAAATAAAATCAGCATTCAGTAATTAACACAGGCAGCTAGCATATAAAAATAACACATCAAAATAAACCATTAATAGTGTGATGTAGGCCCATGAGAGAAGAAATGGTGGAGTTCTCTGCCTAGCAGGTTATCAGCAGTGTTTTTGACTAGAAATAGAAGGACATAAGGAATTGCTTTAGTTTGGTTATTTATGCATCCAGGCCAGATTTGCCTGCTCTAAGCGGAAGCAGGTTTCTAATCCTAGACAGAAGTCCTTCTCGTGATCAGATGAAGTAAGTTAAGGATGCAACGACTTGAACCTGTGGCCCTCTGTGCCCAAAGCATGTATTCAACCACCAAGCTACAGTCCAGGTTGGGCCACTTGGTGGTCTTAGAGGCCCTAAGAGTTTCCTGGGATCAATTGCAGGTCTCGCAAACTGGGACTGACACAGAGATGCATGTGTTGGAAATAGTAGTTGAAGGAGGCCAATGTTGTCTTTCAACCCTGATTGCTCATTGGAAGGATCGATAATGAAGCTCAAGCTCAGATATTTTGGCCACCTAATACGAAGA